GTGGAACGCAATTCCGGAACCCCCAGCACTGAATGTAATGCCATTGGGTGCTGAAGGGTCTATTGATGCTGGCTGCTGGGAATCTATTGTCACTGGAGGGGATCTATTTTTGAGTGGAAGTCTATTGTTGCTGGTGGGGTATCTATTGTGGCTGGGGAGTCAGTTGTTGTTGGGAGGGATCTATTGTTGAGGGAGAGGTCTATTGATGCTGGCTGATGTTTCTGCTGGGGGACTATTGTTGCTGTGATGGTATTTTGTTTCAGGGGGTGCATTGTTGCTAGGGGGGTCTATTGTTGTGGGGGGAATCTATTGTTGCTGGAGAAATGGATCTATTGTTGCTGGCTGCAGGGGATCGATTTTACTGCTTTTCATGTTCTAATTAACAAATTCCATACAAAATATTTAGCACCACAAAATGATACTTTGGTTCTGTATTCTTTAAAAGGGGCGGTAATGGGAGGTGGGTAGGGGGTTGAACCAAGGGACAATGCTCAGAGGTGGGTAGTGGGCGAACACAAGGGGTGACTCAGATTTAGGGAGTTCCTGCACCTATTATCTGAGAAAAAAAGCCCTGGTAGCATCAGAGCAGAATTCTATCTAGCACCAGGTCAGTAGGAGTAAGGCCTGGGACAGCTAACCATTCCTCCCATAATTTGTATAATTTTCCTTGGTATTCCCTATGTTGAAAATAATCTTTTTCCAGTCTAAGGGAGCTACGTGTACCCATTCTTTGAGTGTGAGCTCTGTCAGACTTCCACTGTTGAAGGATAAGCCGTCGAGCTTGAAACAAAGCTCTATTGACAGCAGCCTTCTGAAAATCAGTTAGTTGGAGGTCATTCAGTATGCCCAAAATCCAACGGTTGGGTTCAGCAGGGACATCGACTTGGAAGACTGCATTAATGGTGTTAACAATGTCTGACCAATAATGATGGAGTTTGGGGAAGCGCCATAAGCGGTAAATAAGGTCAACCTACGTAGCAGCACACTTAGCACTGAGGGGGGACTGCAGGACTTGTTATTAACTGCTTTCCTGCCTCCCTATAGTAGAACTACTGCTACAGGGTGGCAGGGCCTGCACAAAATCATGTGTGTGTATATATACATGATTTGCATTTCCGGGTAGGGGGCACACGTGCGCACCACCCTACCCATGCTACCATTGGCGGCTAGGGATGTCAATCACCGTGTCCCAGCCAGAGATTCCCCGCCAGCACCTGGCGAACGCCGTGTAAAACTGACAGGGGAGAGACCTGTGAGTAAACAATACAGGTCTCTCTCCTGCCAGCAAGGACATGCTACTTTGTATTTCTCTGCAGAGCAGAGAAATACAAAGCAGCATGTCTCCCTAGTAAAACACACAGCACATAATGTTAAACAGCACACAGTTAACCCTTTGATCGCCCCGGATGTTAACCTCTTCCTGCCCAGTGTCATTAGTACAGTGGCAGGACATTTTTTTAGCACTGGTCACTGTATTAGTGCCATTGGGATGTCAGTGGCAGTTAGTCAGTTCCCACTGTGTGTCATAATGCCCACTGCAGTCCCACAGTCCCCCTATAAGTCGCTGATCGCCGCCATTACTTGTGTAAAAAAAATAAAATAAAACTCCAAGTATGTATAACACCATTTGTAGACGCTATAAATTCAACATAAACCAATTCATTTACATGTATTGGGATTTTTTCTAGAAAAGACATGTAGCAGAATACATTTTGGCCAAATTTATTATTTATTAGATATTTTTTATTTTTTACTGGATATGTTTTATAGCAAAAAGTCAAAACTACTGGGTTTGTTTTTCAGATAGTTTTTTTCTTTGTTTATAATGCAACAAATAAAAAACGCACAGGTGATAAAATAACACCAAAAGAAATCTCCATTTGAGGGAAAAAAAGGACATAAATTTCATTTGGGTGCAGTGTTGCATAACCGTGTAATTGTCAGTTAAAGTAACACAGCGCCGTATTGCAGAAAATGGCCTGGTCAGGAGGGACAAATCCTCTGGAGTGGTTTTTAATAAAAACATTTTTTTAAAAATTTAATAAACACACCATAGAAAAAGTGTATTAAAAAATGTCCCACTATGTAAATCCAATGTCAGGGGCTGCTAGTGAAAAGAAAGGCAGCCATACTTCAAATTAATTTTTTTTAATTTTGAATGGAATTGTGTGTTTTAATGTTGCTAGTCCTATTTAAAAAACTCGCTCCCAAATGAATGGTATTTTTTGCATTTGGTACATGTCCCCCATGGAAGTGGTCAGTTCCCCATGTTCAATGAACATGGGGAACTGGCCATGTTGTGTCGTTTGTTTCATTAATTACTAATGACATTTTTCTATCCTCAGATTTCCTTTAGATATATATAAACCTGAACAAAGAATCTCACTTATTCACTCACTTTTGTCCTGATAAATATACAATTGAAAACATTTTGTAACATCTGTGTGACAAAAAGACCTGTTGATTCTTTAGAAATCATGTTAGCTGTGCATAGGAAGGGGTTATAGAGATGAAGGGGTAAAAAGAAGGCTGTATCTATTTTAATCCACCATAAATTAAGTAGGCAGGGCTGACACCATCATATGCTTAGTATTTCAGAGCTCAAAAAGACACTAGGCCAGTATAATGTATTGTCAGTGTGCTAAATATTTGGCAAACATGAACCTGGATGCACTGTAATAGTTCAATTTGAAGAATTTTATATGCAAAAATGGATCAACTTGGCAAAAAAAAAAAATTCTAAGTGTTACTTTTTGCACAAACATTCTCACAAAAAAATCACAAGTGTGACTTCTGGCATAAAAAAGTCTCACACAAATCCCAAATATAACTTTTCACACAAATAATCTTGCAATCTGTGCTAAATAAATAATGGTACAGAAAATGAGTTTGTCAACATTTGGCACAAGACAGTTACACATTCTACTATGCCAAAATACGCCAAATAAACTTTCCAAGCGGACGTTCATCCCCCTTCCCCCACAGCACTGGTACACATCACAGGTCTTAGAAGACTTCAGGACCATTCACAAAGCACTGCGCAGTTCGCTAATGCACAGTGGGAAACTGGCTGTGAAGCTGCAAGGCTTCACTGTCCATTTCCCTTAGTTAAGATGCCGGCTCCTGGACCCAAAGCCAACTGAAGAATTGGTTCGGGTGAGGACAGAGCTGGATCCCTGGACAGGTAAGTGTCCCTCTATTAAAAGTCATTAGCTACAGTATTTGTAGCTGCTGACTTTTAATTTTTGGGGGGAAAACTGGAGAACCACTTTAAAATATGAGGTGCTCTGTGCTGAAAGGGTTAATTTAGCATCCCAGAGCCTACTAGATACAAGCTGTACTTAGGAACTGATCATGGTGCTGAACTGTTTGCACAGTGGTACTCTTTCCAGTACGTTTGATTGTGGTTTAACTACCGTACATCTACAAAGGTTGACCATTAAAACTTAAGTAGATGAGTAAATGTCTACAGAAAGCACTTCTGGGCAAGTGCCACTTTGTAAATAGCTTCATTGTAGCTCTAACATTGGGTACTTAATGACCTCCCTAAACCAGCAAAATATATTAAACTCAGGGAACATCAACATTCTAAATATTTAATTTGTCTTAATTAACCAACAATGTTTTTTTAGCAGGTTGTGAAGTTGCACTTTCATTTGAAAGATTTCCTCTGTGTAGTGTTCACATGGAGTGCTTGGAGGAAAATTGGTTCTCTTATTAACATCCCATTTTGTTAGTAGAATGGGACAAGATTTCATCTTTTTAAAAGATCTAATAGTTCATTTCCATTTGAATGTTTTCCTGCTTGTAGTGTTGTAACATAAATGCTGGGTGCAATAACTAAAAGCGAGTCATATACACACACACACACACACACACACACACAATCGGCTGGTAGTCACATACAGGTACTTGTAATCAGCATTTACACCATTACATATTCTATGCATGTGAAAGACCCATTACCAAATGAATAACTGCCCTGGCACGGCACATCATAGCATTCACTCGGGCACTCCAAGAAATAACAGAATCTAACTGCAATATTCTTGCACTGTCAAAACCTCCACTTATAATATCACACGACACACACAGGAGGATATATCTTATAGTCATCACAATCTGCATAATAAACACACACCAATAATAATGTGAGCATTACAGCATGAAATAGACATATCATTTGACAGCGTCACAGCATAGAATTAATATATTATCAAAAAAGACACATTGATTACGTGTAAAAAATAAACTAAAATAAAATCTAATATAAAGTGTGAAAAAAAAACAAAACAAAAGCGCAGCACGATATTTATCTATATATTGGTTGACACTATTGTATGAGTTGGTGTGATGTGTTTTATTTATGTTTATTGAATATTTTTGTGTTGTGTTTGCAGAGAATTCACTGTATTGGCTCACAGGTGGACAGTTGGTTTTGTAATACATTATCAAAGCTATGTGAAGGTGGGAAGGGACAGATCCTATCAGAACCATACTGTACAGGGGGTCACAGGGAAGCCGTAAACGCTATGAATCGATGAGCTCATATAGCCTTGGCAAGAGTCCCAGCATCAGAGCGTCCCATGGCAACTAGGAGGGCTTCCAATCGATCCCACTTAAACTACCGGCTTTTTAAACCATTTTTCTGGCAGTTTTCCTGAAGTGGACGGGTGCCACAACCACTATAGGAGGAGCTAGCAGAAAGATTCTGTGAGGATAACAGAGTCACGCTCAGCCACCATATTGAGTCCACGTCGTTATCTGAAAAGTCACGCTTTTGCTTCAGATCAGCTTCTTATCTACCCTAAACTTCTTCTCATCTAGTCTAACTTAAAGATTTCTAACTTCTCAAGCAAGTAGGCATCCTTAACCACCTCCCGCCCGCCATATAGTCCAATGACGGGCGCAAGGTGGTTCTCTCATTCTGATAGGCCGTCTTTTGACGTCTTTCCATTCTCACCGCACATGCGCAGCTCAGGGAGCGCGGTGATCGGCGGTGCTCTGTGTCCCTCACACACAGCAGATCACCGATCCACGGAAAGAGCCGAAGGTGTCGGCTCGGTCATGTGATCAGCTGTGTCCATTCACAGCTAATCACATGTAAACACGGAAATGCCAGTTATCACGCTGACAGCTCTAGAGGAGAGACGGTAATCGGCATTCCGCGGAGGGGACATGTACACTGATCATCAGGGCACTGATGATCAGGGCGCCCTGAAGATCAGTGTGCCCTGATGATCAGTGTGGCCCCAGAAGTGCCACCTGTCAGTGCTGAACAGTGCCACATGCCAGTGCCCATCAGTGCCACATCAATGCCACATATCAGTGCCTACCAGTGCACATCAATGCCACATATCAGTGCCCATCTGAGCTGCCCTTCAGTGTCACCCATCAGTGCCAGTTAGTGCCACCTATCAGTGCTGCCAATCAGTGCCGCCTATCAGTGCCAGTCAGTGCCACCTATCAGTGCCGCCTAACAGTGCCAGTCAGTGCCACCTAACAGTGCCAGTCAGTGCCGCCTATCAGTGCCATATATCAGTACTGCCTTTCAGTGCCCATCAGTGATGCCTGTCAATGCCCATCAGTGCCACCTACCAGTGCCTCCTCATCAGTGCCCATTAGTGCCACCTATCAGTGTCCATCAGTGTATCTTATGAGTGCCCGTCACTACACCCTCATTAGCACACATCAGTGAGCGAGAAAAATCACTTATTTACAAAATTTTATAACAAAAACTAAGAAAAAACATTTTTTTTTTTTCAAACTTTTCAGTGGTTTTTTTTGGTTTGTTTAAGAAAAAATAAAAAACCCAGAGGTTATTAAATACTGCCAAAATAAAGCTCTATCTGTCACAAAAAAATGATAAAAATTTCATATGGGTACAGTGTTGCATGACCGCGCAATTGTCATTCAAAGTGTGACAGCGCTGAAAGCTGGAAATTGGCCTGGGCAGGAAGGGGGTATAAACAAATAAAATATAAATGGTGTAGCGCTGATACTCTAATCAAAAATATCATACAGCTAGTATATATGCTTGTAACAGAAATTAAATACTCCTTTGTGACTATGAGAAATATACCATAATCTCATAGGTAGCATAAAAATCAGAAATTAAACACACAATATACATAAATCCACGTCAGTGAATCACACCATAGAATAAACAATCACAAGTGTAAGTGTACCACACTCAATCAGTGACAAATGGTGATATATCAGTCCACTTTGCACACAAGTGAGAAAATCTTCATAAACATGAAGGTGCCATATGTGCCAAGGATCCCAAAATGGTCTGAGTGCCCCCTCACGTCCGTGCAGTGACCACAAGGGCCAGCCAACTTTGTAATAGCCTCCCGACAATCTCCTAAGGATCACCTTTCCAATTTGGACTGTAATGGTTAATAACCAGGGCTTTGACCAAACCTTCTCCTGCACTCCACCATTCTGGCAATACCTCACGTCCCTTTAGGTTCCACTCAGAGACACAAATAGATACGCTCCATAGTGTAATATAATCACTTTATTGTATCAAAGTAAAAAATATCCACTCACATGTTAGCAGGTATCAAAAAATGCCAGCTGTCCTCATAGCATGTGGCTTCATGGAGTCCCAATATGGCGTGTGTGCCGAAAATGACGTCACCGCATCCTGAAACTGACGATAGTGGTACATTATTGAAAAAAAGGACAGTTACATCAAACTATCTTTGAGCATGTAGATGTATCCATTGTGTTGCATTTGGAAATGTCCTGGAATTTTGAGAAGACCATCAAGCTGTATGAAGTAATACCAGAACTGTAACACCAAACCTGTCCTCAAAATAACACATGTGGCATAAGTGGTAGCTGGAGTACCTCCTGGAAAAATGTCCTTCCTGTGTGAGAGTGGCAACGCGTTTTTCCCTTTTCTTAAGCCTACTTACTATGATGAAGTGATAAGTGTCCTCCTTTAGTAAATATGCAGTTTTAACACATACCAGTGCCTTTTTATGCTATGTTTTCTCTAGACTAGGTGAGGTATAGTTATGTAGTTACGTTGACTGAAAAAAGTACAATTTTTTGCAGTTTTGGGGAACAATTACGCTGTTAGGTCTTTATTGCTATTCAGAAGCTCGTTTGAGAGTTTTCTTTTCACTCACTGTCACAGTGGTTTTACCAGTAAGTGAGACAAAAAACGCAACATGGACAAAGACAGCAATAAAAAAAAAATGACTATAGTTCTAGCCTTCTCCCATTCTGCTGATAATAAAAGCTATTATATTTTTTTCTTTGTTGTTAAGATTTTCCCTCACTTCTTTTCTGGTGAAACCAGGATCGCTGAGATACTAGGAGAGGGTAAAGCTCTCTAATAAATGGTAGTGGTTCTAATCGTTCCCCACACATAACAAAACAAAAAGAACTCAAATAGCGGCTTTACTTCTATATAATTCAGAAGCAAGAATTCTGTATTTACATTTTGACAGTGCTAGGCCCTTCCACAGTGTGATTATAGAGAACAGACACACAGGATTTGCATTAAAGCAAAGTAGGAAGCCCAAAGCATTGCTTTTGAATGGAGAAGATAAGCTCATCAGTATTCTCCAGATTTTGTAATCCTGGATCAGGCTCTGGAGCTTGAAGGTTTCAAAGTGTCCTGGGGGAAGCAAAGCCTTTAAGGTCCTATTAGAGGCCTGCAGGTTGTGTTAGTATGCAGGTGTGAATGCTTGTAATAAGCCAAGCCTGAGAATAGCTCAGGACTCCCATTTTGGAGACACAGACCTGTCAGAATAGAGTTGTGTATGGGGGTTCAGGAGATAATGCTAACTAGTGCCCCCAAAGGTTGGTATTAAGTCTGTAGAGACAGCTGAGGTGGCTAACGAGTCCAAGGGGGGTTGCAGGGAGTCTATAAGTCTCTAGAAGAGTGAGCAAGCTGGGGGGATAGAAGAGCTTTGTTTAGAGGCCAGGAGTGGGTCTGTGGAGCAAAGTGCTGTAACCAAGACTAAGCGAGCCTGAAAAGTCTGGTCTGGGAAACCAAAGATGATAGCAGCAGTACTGCTCACAAGAGAGCCAAGTGGCCTAAACTATCATTTGTGGACTTTTTTTTAAATAAAAGTGAGCTGCCATGCCCTAAAACAGTTTGGACTGGCATGGACTTCATTTAACCGCGCCTACCATGGAGCTAAGCAACCCCCAGATCACAACATATACATATGAATAATTGTTTGTATATTGCATTTGTAGACACGCCCCCAATTTGGGAAGAGATTTTCTAACCCACTGCATATTTTTTTTGGCTGCCAGCTAAGTTGTCTCTGAAAAAAAAGGTTATACTGTTTTAATAACCCTTTTCATTGTGCAATTGACTAAACCTTTTTCCTCCTTACTGTTTTGTGAGCTTAGCCTGTTAATAATAGAATGCTTGGTGTGATGCGGTGCCATTCATTTGAATAGCAGCCCAATGCAGTTTGCCAATGGATTCACCTTGGCACTCCATCACACTTTTCAATGGATGTACATGGCCCCACAATGCTAGTCCATCAGAAGGTGTATCGGGGTGTCGTTCAGAATGAAAGGCACAGCATTGCACCAATGCATTTAAAGTGGTTGTCAAGGCTAAACATTTTTTTTTTGCCTTAAGTTTTTTTTTACCTTAATGCTTTCACCAGTTTAAGGTAAAAACCTTTCATGTTAAGCAGCCCCCCCCCCCCGGATACTGACCTGGGGCTGATCTCGATCCAGCATTGTGCCAGAGAGCAACAGCATTGCTGTCTCTCTCCTCACAGGAATCAAAGGCAGCGATTATCTCCTGCTACTGTCTATCAAATCCTGTGAGGAGGGAGTGGGGGTGGGGCTGAGCTGCACTGTGTGTGTTACTGTGCACACACCCCAGCTCGGGATCAAGCCTGCACAAGTGCCCCTATAGAAAACAGCTTGCTATGGGGGCTCTCAGAAGAGAGGAGGAACCAAGAGCGCTGGCTGGGGACCCCAAAAGAGGAGGTTTGGTCCACTCTGTGCAAAACCATTGCACGGAGCAAGTATTGTAAGTACACCATGTTTATTATTTTTTTTAAAAATAACCTTTACAATCACTTTAATGTGCGTTGCAGCAAGTTGCCATAAAACATGCGGTAATTTAGTCTATCGTTTTTAAAACACCCCATTCCTTATTTGATGGCTATCTTTAATTTTTTTCTTTTAAGACTATTCAGCTGACCCCCCTAAATTATTCTGACATGCACAGCCTAGCAGTGTAAAAAAAATGAACTTGCTATGACACAATGCTTGGGAAACACTAGCCTAAGGCATTTCATAGTGCTCACAAATGACTTCAAGGATAAACAATGTCAGTTATATACTGTAGATGTCCATAATGATACATTACTGAAATATTTGTGTTTGGGCATTATCTGCTCTAAAGGAAACCTGATAAGGGAAACACCGTTAGAGAAGATGGGGTGGAAGTTGCCATTCAATAACTATCAACCATATGGTAGTTCTGGGCCAGTGAAATCTATTTCGTTTTCGTTTCAGTGATGCCACTGCCATGGAACAAGAATCTAGCAGGACAGTAGTAGATTTCAGAGTCTTCCCATTCAGTGACTTTGTTTTGTGAATGAAGAAAAAGGAAAATATGTACAACATACAAAATGTACTGCATACTGTATGCAAAAGTGAAAAGGTGAAGATTAGCTATGTTATACGTAACATGTTAATTGTGACTAAGCAGTACTCTGAAAAAAATACCTTTTCGTCTTGAATACTTCATGAAAAATAACAAAATAACAGTGTGCTTCCTGCTATGTGAATGTGCCTACTAGGCACTCCTGTGTCTACAGCCTCAGCTGTATATCTGCAGTATGAGATCTAAAACACTTGTGGGCAGGTGTAGTCTATCTTCTCCACTGTAGGTGGTGTTCGTCTAGAGCAGCATTGCAGTTAAAGAGAAAATAAAGAGGAACATTGTTCCTCTATGGTTTCCTGGGTCACTTGGGAAGCTGCCCGATTGGATGCTGCTGCCCCATGCAACTCTAGCAGCCATCTAGGGCCAGGCAGAGCCTATTTTAGGCCCTGGTTCCCAGGCTTGGCATGCATTTGCGAATGGGTAGAGTAGGGACAGATATCCCATCTGTTAGGGACAGAACTAGTGGCAGGGACAAGGAGGGAAAAGCACAGTGTTCTCAGGGCACCTTCCGGCTTGGGCACCATAAGGCCAGGCCGCATTCTGCCCCTATTAACAGACCCTGTAAGCTTGACTGAAACCTGCTGTCTACATGCTGTCAGGACCCTGTGGATGTTCCTGGTTGGGCTGTCCTGCAACCAGGTTTATTGTGAACTGTCTTACTTCAATACAAGTTCTGTCAGGACCCCATGGATGTTCCTGGTTGGGCTGTCCTGCAACCAGGTTTATTGTGAACTGTCTTACTTCAATACATGTTCTTTTACATCGCACTTGGGCTGTGTGTGTTATTGCTGCTATGCCCCACTTACTTAGTGGTTTTTGGTGATGCACTGTTCTTATCTCAGGAGGCTCTGTCATGGAGAAGCAGAACCCTGCCAAGATGGTGGCCTCCACTCAGAGAAAGTGCAGAATAAAGCATGGTAAGTCAG